CATACCACACCATGCCAAACCTTACCATACCACACCACACCATGCCATACCATATTTTATTCTTTCTTCATAGCTTACATATCCCAGCAAAATCTTTCAAGCAGTATGTAACTACAGTGTGATTATGTGTTAATTTTCTTCTAATAAATGATTATGAAAAAACAATTATGTTTTTTCCAATACCTATACAAGAAATAACATTGTGCAGTGCAGGTAAAGAAAACAAATTATCCTCAAAAACCCATGTTTTTAATCTATAACCAAGCAACTTGTTGTAGACTAACAAAGTGTGGGCAAGTAAGGGAGTTTCCTCAGCCAGTTTCTCTTATTAGCAGGCAGCAATTTGCGGTTACAATGAAAGAAGTAATAATTTTACTATTTATCTTTAAAAGTAATCTTGTAACAATCTTAAAAGAATCACAAATCTAAACTTCTATATAAAAATCAGTCATATCTACCTTAAACCCTCAAAATGCATAACTACTCATGAGCAATTTGTAATAAATCATATCAGGAAGCTAAGGGCAAAAATTTTTAATTTGAAAAGTGGATGTCAATACAATTTATTATTATTATTATTATTAAATCTTGCTTTGTTTTAAGGAGACTTAAGCTATCTAAATTATTACATATGGCCTCATAAAATCTATGAAAACAAAAACTAAGTCTGCCTTAGTATAGGCTAGAACATGTAAATTCATGATCTAAGTTTCTGTTTTGAGTTTTTGTGTGAGAGTGTTTCGTCCGCGTGAGTGTCTATGAACCATGTGAACGCCTAATGCCACAGAAGGAAGAAGAGGGCTTTGGATCCCATGGAACTAGAGTTACACACAGTTGTGAATCACCATGAGGGGGCTGAGAAGTGAACTCAGGTCTTCTGGAAGAGTAGTTAGTGTTCTTAATTGTGCCATATCCCCATCCTTTGCCCCTTTGCCTCTGCTGCTAACCAGGAGAGACAAAACTCAATGACTCCTTAAAAAAAAAAAAAACATTTTATTTTATTTTAGTTTTTTAAGACAGAGTCTCTATAGCTTAGTTTTTAATGTGTCACACATCACTGTAGGGTTACAACGGACTCTTTCTAGAAGCAATGGGTACAAAGTGAATTTGTAACCATTTTATTGTATCAGAGGTATCAATGAAATCTCTTAGGGTTATTTTAATAGTATGCAGTCCTTTTGGTGGTTGTTTGCTTTTGAGACAGGCGCTCACATAACCCAGGTTGGCCTAAACTCTCTATGTACCAAGGATGGCCCTGGACTGTAGTTCTCAGGCCTGTAATTTTGGAACACTTCATTACAGGCATACGTCACCACATTACCCAAGATATGCTACACTGATGACTGAACCCAGGGCTTGTATCTGCTGGGCCAGCAGTCTGTCAACTGAGCTACTCTCCCGGCTGGGATGCAGAGTTCACTGTGACTGGTACTTGCCATGGTAATACATAACCTAACAATACAGGACAAATCCTCACCAGAGCCACTCTTTATTCTGGTTAACTTAAAAAAATATCACCACTGAGAGAATATAGCTACTTTATACAATGAACTCGTTACTATTGTACTGGCCAATGTTCTTCAGTAATTAAGAGAAAATATTTAAGAAATAAGATTTGAGAAACAGAAGACTGTTAAGTAGTATAAGATGATGAATGTACTTTTTTCATATTATATTTTCATTAACAACTTAATAATAATCTGCATGTGATAGAGACCTAATAACAAGTGTTCATTACCAGGTACAATAACAAGGAACATTCTGGTTTTAGGACTACAGATTATTGTCAGTACTGAGAAAATCACAGAGGATTTAAAATAAAAGCTCAATGTTTGAGATCACTTCCATTCAGTATTTATAGGTGAGTATAAGAAGGAACACAGTCTCTCTGAAGAAAGCTAGATGAATAAATTTAAAAAGCTAGAAGACAAAATCAGTGACGGCACACATTCCATTAGTATAGGCAAACTTACGACTGTTTACATTGTTGTTACCGTCTTACCGTATGTGGCAAATGTCCTTCTCTGCTGTTCAAACATGAAGTCATTGATGTGTGCGGGCTCTGCGTACCCAGAAAGCATATTTCTAGGGGCAGCCATTTGCTGTGTTCGAAAGGGATTTTCTGGTCCAAACTGCAATGTCATAAGGAAGGAAAAGAAGGTTGCTGAAATTACAATGTGTTTTCAACTCTGATCCACCAGGGCAGACTGACCTATTTGGGATCACGCCACTGCACATGGTTCAGTGTAATCAGGCAGTGGCTGATTAGCGCTGTTTGTCAGCCCCTGGGACAGGAGGAGACAGCAGCTCACGTAAAGTCCACCAGTGGATATGTATTCCAAAAGCGACACGTTCGCTTGTCCTGCAGGAAGTCTTGTCTGAGGGCATTTCTCTGGATAATTGAGATTACCTTGTCTGAGGGCACTTCTCTGGATAACTGAGATTACCACAGACTCGTGACTTGGGGTGATCTTCTCTCAACGACAGCACTCACATACACTTTTTGTTTTAAAAGCCACGTTTTCATCTACTACTTACGAGCTCCTCAAAGGTAGATGCTCAGAGCCCTTTACATTCACCACAGTGCAAGGCAAACAGAAAATACAGACCTCATTAATCCAAACCAATCAGAATCCTAGTGGAGGTACAGGACAGGATCACACTAAAAAATAAGTGTCTGTAACATACTCAAAGAAGAGAGATCACAGATGTAAAATAAAACGTATCTTCTCTGAGAACTCACGTCATAAACTAAACAGTGGTACTGTTACCTACTGGTTTATAACACAGTGGCTTACTGTAAAGTTAGACAGGTGATCTCCCCGCCATACGTGACAAAGCCCACGCATAACGAGCCATTTTACCTGATCTAGGGCCAAGTTGTATCACTTATGAAAACCAAAGCTACAACAAACCTGAGTCTTAGTCCCTTAAACCATTCCCTAAATGTGCAGCATAAAGTCTAACTTACAAGATGCTTGGTTAGGAAGTTCCACATTATGCTATTCTAGCCCTATTAAATAGTGCTATTAGAAAAGACCCTGGAGGGACCAGAGCCATTACAAAGTCCCTTCAATTACTGGAGGTCAGGCCTCTATCCCCGCCTTCGCAAGATTAGAATCGCCACAGCCCTTCTATACTTAGAGAAGGGAGGAGATGTCAGGGGCAGCCCTGCTTATACACTGAAGGCCTAAAATCAGCAATAGGCCTAAAATCAGCAATAGGCCTGTCATACATGTATACTAACACCAAGTCTTGGGTCTCTGTGGAACAACATTGAAACAGATGGCTATAAGCTATTGTAAACAGGCAGCTTTTGTGGAAATTTACCAGCCGGAGTAGTCATAGACCTTGTAAATAGGTAGCCTTGGCAGACAATACCAACTTAGATAAGGACAAGCGAGTCATAGACAGAGTCTTAGTGACCTGTCCCCTGAACCTTCACCCTGCCGATAACCGGTTCTGAAGATATCTGTATTCCCCCTGAGCACCCACACTCCAGTGTTATCCCCTTCCCCACATCCTGCCTTTCTGTGTTTATAACCCCTGTGTAAATGAATTATGATTTGAGAAAAAATAAATAAATTATTTAAAAAAAAGTATATATATATGAGAAAAGGAAAAAAAAAAGAAAAAGAAAAAGAAAAGACACTGGAAGAACCACGCTCGGAGACAGGGCTCCAGTCTTTAGCTCAAGCTGCCCTTGCACTCCTGGAACCTTTCTTTCTTGATTTCTTACTTGTTTTTATGAAGAGTAAAGTGAGTGCTCACATTTAGCAAAGAATGATTTTTCTCTTTCTTTATTGTTATTTTGTTTTGTTTCACAATATGGCCCAGGGTGGCTTAGAACTTGCTAAGGAGCCCACTCTGGCCTGAAGTTAGCAATCCCGCCTTCACATCCTGAGTGTGGGAACTATAGGCACACACCATTACACCTGGCACATAACGGTATTTATTTGAACACGGGAACACCCATTGTTCCTGATGAAGTATGTTGATGTTAGAATAACTCAGATTACTACTTTAGGACCATTTTTTCCTATGGTACAATTCCAAAGCCACAAATATAAATTCCTGTCCTTAACCACCACTGTGTCTTCCCTAGATTCACTGCATTGTGCATGGAAAATTACAAATTTAGCTGTCAGATTATTTACCTAATATATTTTTGCATTAGAGAAAAATAAACCACTACAAGATTGCTGTAGACTGATAATTTGCATTTGTGCTTAAAACACTCAATTTTCTACAAAGTTTTTAACTGCTACTCATTCCAAATTATAAAGGACACAGCACAACTTTGTAACTCACATCTGGTGATGGGTAGAACACAGGGAAAAAAAACCAACATAGACAATGTATTTACTCATGAATGTTACTACAAAAAACAGAGACAGCCATAAAATTAGATGTGAAAATGGCCAAAAGCTTCTGAGACGCATGACCTGCGTGCCCACATGCCACCTCAGCGCAGCACCTGGTGCTTCTGAGTGCGGGGCCCAGAGGGAGTCTACAGCGACAGATGCCCCTCTGCCCTTGACACCCTCCTCGAGCGTGCGCAGGAGACTACCCCAGTGCTTTCAGGGGTTGTGTACTTGGAAAAGGAACATCTACTTCACAAGAAGGGGACAGCTCCGTAGGCCATCCTCAGTATCAAGAATATTCATTTCTATACAGAAACTTTTACTAAAGCTATGTGTATTTTACATATGGTACTGTGCCTGCAGCAGACTTAAAATCTAAATGTCCCTGGGGGGACGGACAACAAAATCTTCTGGTAATAATGAAGCTGGAGTGGAGGAGGGTCCATCCACTTCAGGCAACAACTGAAGCTGACATTAAAGACACACACACACACACACACCCCACAACAGGAGACAGAGAGCACTGTTACGCAGTAACTGTTCTACTCGCTACTGAAAAAGCTTCCCAGATGTGTCTCTGTGAATATGCAACTCATTTAATTCTGAAGTAGTCATTTTAAATAGTATATAAAAGTACAGAAAGCAATTTCAAATGTTCTTTTCAAATTTTAATAGCTGAATGTTAAGGTTTGGGTATGAAGTGTCAGGCTTCCCCCAACAAAGACTCCTGTGTTGGGGAGTTAGCACCCAGCTGGCAGTGCTCTTAGGGGGCTCTGGAAACTTTCTCTGGTGGGACCAAGCTGCAGAGTGTTACTGGGCAAAGGTAGATCCTAGAGGGTATTTTGGCTGTGGCATCCTGCTCGGGTCCCCTCCCTGCCATGACCCAACGAGATGAGGAAGCGTCTCTCCACACAATTCTGTGACCACAAGGTCTGTTCCAGTTCACAGTGCCAAACAACCACAGAAACAGTTGAAATCATGAGTAAAAAAAAATAAAATAAAATAAAAAAAATATATATATAATTTATATATTATATTAATTAATATTATATAATATAATCAATATTATATAATATAGTTACATAATTATATAATTATACTATATATTACATATTATATATTATATAATATAATTATATAATATAATCATATATACACACACACACACATATATATATATATCGAGGGTTGGTTAAGAGTGCTGTGTGCCCTTACAGAGGACCTGGGTTCGATTCCCAGCACTCACATGGTGGTGCACAGCCATCTTTAACTCCCATTCTAGGGGAACCCAATGCCTTCTTCTGACCTCCACTGGTACCAGATATATAAGTGGGTGCACTAACATACATGCAGGCAAAACACCCATAAAAATAAAAAACCCAAAAATCAAAAAAACCCTCCCTTATGCTGTTTATATCAGAAATTTTGGTCACATGGATGAAAAGCAAACCTATATGCTGGGTTTAAGAGTTAACATATTCAAGTGACTTATTGCAATTTATACTATTATGCTAGTGAAGGCACAGCAAGCATCTGTACATGAATATATAATATATTCCATATCAAGTTAATTAACTACGAGAATTAAGTTTTCAGTTAAAATTATATTGGGGTAAACTATAGTTAGCTGCAATTGTAATCTCCCTATATGACATGTAAATGTAAGCAAGAAAGTACTCATAGTTGCCAACCATATGCTGATGAGGGGTTACTATCCCAAATACAAGATTTCAAACAGATCAACTGCAGGAAAACAAAGAGTAATGAAAACAGACAAAGGACCATGACAGCCAGTTTTTATAAAGGAGACATAACCCTAGATGAAAAAAATGTTCATCATCAGTAATCAGAGAAACCTAAATTAAAACCTCAATGAAGAAGCACTCCTCTGTTAGAACAGCCCTTGGTTTATCAAAAAGACAAAGAAAACAACGAGCGTTGGTGAGGAGGGGAGAGTGATTCTCGCCCATTGTGGAAGGGAGCGTACACTACACAGGAGTCCATGAAGCACAACACGGAGGGTCCTCAAGCTGAACCCTAGAACTGTCATGCGATCTAGCAAGGCTATTTCAGGGTACGTACTAAAGGAAACGAATGACATGTATAGTCGCATGTTCACAGCAGGATTACGAACATTGGCCAAAGTATGGGATAATCTTAAGTGTCTATCAACCAGGACGTGTAAAAAGAAAAGCGAGTAAGACAGGCAGTCGGGGGCAGAGGCAGAAAACTTACAAACTTGGGGCCTCTCTGATCTGAGCAGTAAGTCCCTGGCCAGCCAGGGCTACCCAATGAAATCCCCATATAACCACTCCTTCAAACAGAACAAGAGGAGAAATGTGCATGTACAGAGTAGAAAACAATAAAACCTTAAAAAAGTGTCATTTGTGATACACAGATAACCTAGAGGATATACTACATTAAATGGGATAAGCCTGGACCAGAAAGACAAGCACTGTATGATCTCATAGTGTGTGGGGCTCAAAACTGCAAGCTATATTAGCCAGAGTTCTCTAGAGGAACAAAACACACAGCGAATATATCTAGAATATATATCTAAGATATATTATTTATTATACGTATTTATTAGAATGGTTTACAGGCTGTGGTGAAACTAGTTATCAGTGGTTGTCTACAATATTGAGCCCAAGAATCCAACAGCTGTGTTTATTCCACCAGACTAGATGTCACAACTGTAGTACACACCAGAATCCCAAAGAAGTAGGTTCCAATGCCAGCGAAGGAGTGGACTTGCCAGAGAGGGCAAGCAGGCAGAGAGCAGGCGTCCTTCTTTACGTCCTTTCAACAAGCTGCCACTAGAAGGTGTGGGCCAGATTCAAAGTGGATCTTACCACCTCAAATAATTTATTCAAGAAAAATGTCTCAGTAAAGAAGACACTACCTTTAACTATGAAAAAAAAACAAAAAAACCTAAGGTCTTACAATTGTTAATACATAGTCTCATTCCAAATTTCACTGTCTAAACTGGGACAGTACTGTCCATTGTTCTCTTCAAATATGAATTTTATAGAGAAAGATCTGTTTCTCCAACTAGATGCAGGGTCTCCTTAAACCTGTGAATGTGAACTACAGAGGCCAGGGAGACCGGCGAGTCTGTGTTTGTTTATGACGGAACACAGCACATCCTCTGTCAAACGCGAGGCTAAAGAGAGGGGTCATATGTCGTTAATAACAGTAGTTCCTCAACATTGAGGGACTTAAACTGAACCTGGCAGAGGTCCTGGTGACAGCTTTCCAGTTCTGCCCAGTGATTTGGATTCTAGTCATAAAACACAAAGCTCACACCTGTTATAGGTGAGGAAGGACGCACATGATGACTAGATGACTGACTTCCCAGTCTCATCACAAAATCAATTCACATTTAGTCTTTTGATTGAAAGTTAAAAAATATAATTATACAGCAATATTATAAGAACTCAGAAAAAGCAGATCTTGTAGAAAACAAGCTAACATCAAAATGTTATATGCCACACTGCTTTTGAGTTTTCTCATCCTCTGAATGCAAATAAGCACTATTTTACCGAAGTCCCTTTCATTTGCAGAAACCATGAAGCATCCTTAAGGGGCCAGCTGAGGTGGCACTCAGGGACAGCAGTCAGCTTACAGAGCTTAGGAGGGCAGGGCGGAGACCACGGAACAAGGTGTAGAATGCACAAGTCTCCGAGCACCTAGTGAGCAGCCTTCTACAGACTGCTGGAGGGCTGTCTGGTGCCCACCCCGTGGCACAGGTGGCGTGGCACAGGCGGCGTGTGAGAATGATGCTGGAGAGGCACCCGTGGCTGTTTCAGAACAGCTATGTACTAATGTTAATATAGCATTTTTCTTTGTGGTTAATTATAATATCCTCATATCAATGCTGAGAAGGATATCAAGTTCCCAGTGAAGGATGATATTTCCAGATTCCTTTTTTCCCCTAAAGACACTGCAGTATAATCAGCATGCAGTGCAGATATGCAGTCAGTAGATTTTTAAAAGGATTTTTCATAAAAACTATTCAGGATTTAGAGACTAGAAGGATACATTTCCTAAAATTTTTATAGTTTCGTGAGAAAATATTTTAAAAATTTAACCCTGTCAGGGTTCTCTAGAGTCACAAAACTTATGGAATGACTCTCTTCCCAGTCTCTCTCCATACACTCGCACACAGTTCTATGTTTAAAATTGTATCTATTACATATCTGTCCCTTTCCTCTCTGAGTCTTCTCATGACCACCATGGTGACACTAAAGGTACGGCCCAGATTAAAGGTGTGCCTCAAGATCTGGATTAAAGGGTTTGTTGATCCAGATAGAGACCCCGCGTCTTCCTGCTTCGGTGTCTGATCCCAGCTGGGATCTCCACTTCTGGACTGTAGTTCATTTCATATACAGTCAAGTGACAACCGAGAAGAGCCATGGCAAACAACCATTTATCTACCTCTGTATAATTTAACTACTCGACGTAAGGGAGAACTCACGGTGTGCTGTCTTACCTCAGGAGCAAACATGGTCTCGTAGGTAGGATTATACTGAACCTCTTTGACAGCAGGGTCGAGGTGAACTCCCGTCTCCAGATCTTCCTGAAAGAAAGCCAAGTAAATGTCACACACTTGCTATGCTTAGGAGCTGCAGCAGCATTGTCAACACCTAAACACTGATGTCACGATTATTACTGTAGTATCACAGCGGTGGTAATTAAAACAATCAGAGAGCAAAAGAACATATATATATATACATAAATAAAATACATACCGTTTTAGACATAAAAAATATAATTTCTCTTTTCAGTATACTAACTTTATTAACTAAATAAGTTAACACTGCCCTGCCCAAACACTTCAGGTAAGAAGTTCTAGCTTCCTCACGCCATCACTGTGTGTCAGATGCCAACACCCAGAGGCGCTCGCTAGGAACTCACTGTCCTCTGCAGCTGGGGATCAGGTAGACTATGTTAACACTCCTTCCTGTCCTCCATTTCTATGTCTCCTCTCAGTCCCACAGCAGACCACCTGCTGCAGCCCTCCTCCTGCTTCATCTTTACCTCATGGCTGAACTTGCTGGGAGACCCAGCTCCTCTCCTGCAGTGCTCCCTCTCAGCTCCCCTCCTCCAGTGCTCCCTCTCAGCTCCCCTCCTGCAGTGCTCCCTCTCAGCTCCTCTCCTGCAGTGCTCCCTCTCAGCTCCTCTCCTGCAGTGCTCCCTCTCAGCTCCTCTCCTGCAGTGCTCCCTCTCAGCTCCCCTCCTGCAGTGCTCCCTCTCAGCTCCCCTCCTCCAGTGCTCCCTCTCAGCTCCCCTCCTGTAGTGCTCCCTCAGCTCCCCTCCTGCAGTGCTCCCTCTCAGCTCCCCTCCTGCAATGCTCCCTCTCAGCTCCCCTCCTGCAGTGCTCCCTCTCAGCTCCCCTCCTGCAGTGCTCCCTCAGCTCCCCTTCCCGTGTCCAGTGTCCAGTGCACCCCCTCAGCCCTCACTGCTAGCTCATCCTCACTCCTTCTTGTTAGCCCTCACTATTTAGAGAGGCCTTGTGCCCAGGACCACAGTGGCCGCTAGAGAGGGACTCAGGAACACTCGCTACCAGGCGTCCACAGTCACCGCACTCTCCTACAACCCAGAAGATAAGGAAAGTCAGGTGAATTCCATAGGCCTGACTCTAAGTACATGGTCTCCTTCCCTTGCAGCTCTTACGGGTCTTTCTTTGTCGTGTCGTGGATACTTCCTGTGTTGATCATTATATGCCACCATCAATGCCTAGGTTCACCATCGTCCCACACCCAGATGAGTAGACACAGAGTAAAAACACAATCAAAACCAGGCGGGAAATTATGTCTGTGCCAGAACCCAGCACCGGCACCACACAGGCCTAAGGAATGCAATATAGCTGAAGCATGAGACAAGAACTCCAAAATAGCTCTTAGGGATATGTCTGAGGCCCTTAAAGAGGAAATCAAACCCATTAATATGTGAAAATACAAACAAATAGTGAATGAAACAAAGAAAACAGGTAAAGACAAGAAAGTAGAAATATAATCACTAAGAAAAATCTGAATTGAGGTAAAACTGAAAATGGAAAATTTAGGCAGTCAAACATAAATCTCAGAGGTAAGCCTCAGCAACTGAAGACAGGAGATAGGAGAATCTCAGTTACTGAAGACAAAAGAAAAATGGACACCTTGGTCAGAGAAAATGTTAAATTAAAAAAAAAAATCCAGGCACAAAACTTCCAGGAAATCTGGAACACTGAAAGACTAAATTATAAATAATAGGAACAGAGGGAGGAAAAGAAACCCAGGTCAGAGGCACAGGCAATCTTTTCAACAAAAGCATAGAAGAAAATTCCCTTAACCTGAAGGAGGAGGTACCTACTAAGTCATTCAAAGCATACAGAATACCAGATAGACTGGACCAGATAAGAAACTCCTCATGACACATAGTATCCATTTTCTTTTTAGGAAGCTACAATCACGCTGATACCTAAACCACATAAAGTCCCAACAAAGAAAGGGAGTAACAGACTAATCTCCCTTATGAACACAGATGCAAAAATTTTCAATAAAGAACTTGCAAACCAAATATAAGAACATATAAAGACATTCATCTACCATGATTAAGTAGGCTTCATCCCAGAGATGCAAGATGGTTCAACACATGTAAATCATAGATACGATCTACCACATACAGACTGAAAGACAAAAGCCACATCATCTCATTCAGTGCGGAAAAGGACTTTGACAAAATCCAACATCCACTCATGACAAAAGTTCTGGAGAGATTAGGGAGGCAAGGGACATACCTCAACGTAATAAAGACAGTTTACAGCTAGCCCATTGCCAACATCAACCTAAATGAAGAGAAACTCAGAGCAATTCTACTAACATCAGAAATAAGACAAGGCTGTGCACTCTCTAAACCTGTTCAATCCAGTGCTGAAATCTTAGCTAGAACAGTGAGACAACCTAAACAGATTGAGGGACACAAACAGTAAGGGAAGAAGTCAATGTTGCAGATAAGATAATTGCATACGTAAAAACGCATGAGGAAACTTCTACAGCTGATAAATGCTTTCAGCAAAGTAGAAGAATGCAAAATTAGCACACAAAAATCAGTCAGTCTTTCTGTGTACAAATGACACAGACTGAGAAACAAACCAGGGAAACAATACCTTTCACAATAGCTCAATAAAAATCTTGGGGTAACTCCAACCTAGCCAGTGAACATATAATAAAATTTTAAGACATTAAGGAAGATTCAGAGAATAGAAAGACCCCCATACTCATGGGGTGGTAGCACTAACATAGTAAAAAATGGCCATCCGACCAGAAGCAATCTACAGGTTCAAGGCAATTCCTATCAGAATTCCAACATAATTCTTCACAGAAATTGACAATTTTAGCTTCATTTGGAAACACAAAATACCCACGATAGCTAAAAACAATTTTGAATAATAAAAGAACTGTTGGAAGTGTCACCATCTTTGATTTCAAATCATACTACAGAACTAGAGTATTAAAAACAGCACTGACAGAAACAGAGAAACATGTTGATCAATGTAACCAAACTGAATACCAAGACGCCTGTCCAGACACTTGTTTGTTTGTTTGTTGTAATAAAGAAGCCAGAAATACACACTTGGGAGGGGGTGGGGGAGAGGCAGCATCTTCAACAACTGGTAAAAACTGGATGGCTGCTGGCACACGGATATAAATAAATCCATATGTATCATCCTGCACAAAACTTGACTCCAAATGGGTGAAAGACTTCGATGTAAGACAAGATCCACTGAGTCTGATAGAAGAGAAAGTAGGGAACAGGGCACCGTCAGCACAGGCACGAAGAACAATAGTTAACAAGTGGACTTCATGACACTGGACAGCTTCTGTATGGCTGGGGCATCCTCAACCAAACAGAGCAGCAGCCTCCAGAATGGGAAGAGATTCTCACCAACTACACATCTGATAGAGGGCATCAAGAAAACACCTAACCCAATTAAAAACGGGGGTGCAGATCTAAGCAGAGAATCCTCAAAGGAGGAAACACAAATGGGTAAGACATACTTAAAGAAATATCCTTAGTCATCAGGGAAACACAAACCAAAACTACTCTGAGATTTTATCTTACACCAGCCAGAACGGCCAAGATCAATACAACAAATGGCTCTTGCTGGCAAGGATGTGAATACTGACTCATTGCTGGTGGGAGTGCAAACACCATAGAAATAGGTGTGGCGGTTCCTTGGGAGGCTGGGGATCTATCTCCCTCAAGGTCCAGCTGTACCACTCCTGGACATACATTCAAAGGACTCTACACGCCATTTCAGAGACCCTTGCTCCACCATGTTAATTGCTGCTCTCTGTTTGTAACCAGAAATCGGGAGCAGACTAGATAACTGACAACAGATGAATGGATAAAAGATAACAGACTGACAACAGATGAGTGGATAAAAAGTGGTCCATCCACACGCTAGAATATCACTCAGCTGTCCAAAAAGTAAAACCAGGAAATTCACAGGTAAATGGTCGTAGCCATAAATAAAAATAGAGACATCTCTAGCCACCAAATGAAGCCTCCGGTGGCAGGAATGAATCTAACCAAGCTGTTGGTGAAAGGGGCCTCAAGGAAACCTCCACACAACTCAGGCTGTTATTGCCAAGGCTATGTATTGGTTGCTCTCCACAAACAGATGGTAAGGCCCTATTGCTAAAGACAACACCTACATAACTCACTGGACAGGGAGAAGTCAAAGCCGTTGCCAATGAGAGCTCTCACTACCAATGACTAACATTCATGGTACTGATAGGTGCATGCGTGCTACCAGCGGAGAAAGGTACATGCCAATCCAGCCATTAACCCTTCCATTTACGATGGTGACCTGTCTGATACAACTGTACAACTGTGGCACCAACGCTGAGGTGTAACCAACCACACTCTCTGCCTGGTATTAAGGCCCTCTCTATGAGATGGAATCCATGCCTGACACTGCTTGGGTGGCCAAGAACCTGAGACTAGACAGGCCATGGACCTGGGATACTGTTCTGCTTAAGGGACTATAATGACATTCTGCTATCCTCAGAGATCAGTGTCTTGCTTGGCCATTCTCACAGATGCTTCCTTTTGGAGTAGATGGGAACAGAGACCCACAGCTGCACAGAGAGTGAGAGACGTTGGAACACTAAATCCTAAATGGGATGTCTTCATAAGATCCCTCCTCCCAGGGCTCATGGCATTCTGAGGAAGTCTATGTAGAAAGACAGAGAGGTCAGTGAGGATGGAAAACATGAAGGAAATAAGGCCTTCCACACACAACAGGACTGCTATGCATATGAACTCATAAAGACCCTGGCAGTGTGCACAGGGCCTGCAGTCTAAGGCAGATGAGGTCCCAGTGCTGAGGGGGAGATACGGATATAAGCACCCATCTCTGACCAGGACGTTATTTCCAACTGATAACCACCTATACAGAAAACATAGTTCTATCCAATGGAATCTCACTAGGTATACAAACCAGTCTTAAGGGCAGGCACCATGCCCCACAGTATATGGCCACCACAAAATGAACTCAATGGCATTTTTGAAGGTCCCTTGTCTCATAAT